GTAAACTATAGGTGTAGACTTGACAGTAAAGTAGAGGAAGGAGCATTTGGTCTGGAGTCTGAGCCTGAGCCCTGGACTTGTGCTGACCTTGGGCAATTAATCTCTCTGATCATCTGTCTTCTCATCTGTACAATGGTGATAATAATACCTACTTTTCAGGATTATTAGTACAGCATGAAAAGCATTATGCAAATTCATATGTGATAGCTGACACAGAAGCTTTTAGAAATGTTAGCTTGTATAATTACAATAATGAAGAAATAAATGATTTGGGCATAGGGTTGGCAGTTAAAGTCTTTTAAAATTCTTGCTGCCGAATAAATTTCTATGATAGTAATACATACTATGGCTTAAGGAATTACAAAAGAAGAAGCAGCAGAAGAAAACCCCCCTCACAATAACATGTGCTACGTTAGCACAGGTTTCATATTACAGCTTCCCCATGGAGTTAGGTGAGATTTTCATTTGCACTCCCTCCCAAGTCTTATTTTATTTTTTATTTTGTTGTTGTCTTTTTTAAAAAGGGAAAAGTCTGGTTGTGTTGATTATCTGTTATCACTTCCAAATAAGGACATGCTTTCATTTGCTGAAATTAGATCCCCAGTCACTGCCGTGGCATACTCTGGGCCGCCTTCTCCAGAGGGTTTGGGCCTGTTAGATAGCACACAGTTGGAAATCAGTGGCATTGAGTGTCTGCCAAGACTGGCAGACCTTTAAGATGGCATCTGGTGACCTTTTTGCTGAGTCCCTTGAGTTCTACATTTGAGATTTGATGTTCTTCAGGAGAAGGATGATTCTAGCCACCTTTGCAATGTTCCTTTCTAACTCTGAGCGGTAGCAGAGGGTGGCACCAAAAGGCTGGTTTGCAGGAAGAGCCCAGTGTGAGAGAGGGAACAATTGGATAGTTTTCTCCACGTTTATTTATCATTCAGTAATATAATAATCTCCCCTAATTACTGTAGTTCCCAGAGGACACAAAACTCTTCACTGTGTCCCAGCGAGCAGCAGCTGAAGTCAGAAGTACATGTGAAGAAGCGAGCTGTGTCTTGCTTCCAAGAGAGTACTGATGGCATTTTTTTTTTAATTCTATTGAAATGGCAGATTTCTAGTTTCAGTACCACAGGTAGATAGCACATAAGCTTAGAAGAAAACTGTGAGTTTGTGGACAGCATAATAACCAATGCATGTTGACTAGATATTTGTGCTAACATTAGACACTCACCATTTCTCAGCTGGGAAGCCATTTTCATGATAATTTTAAACTGCTATGTATTTTTATTTTTTTAAAAACAACAACAACAGATTAACAGATTATTTTTGGTTTTTATATCTACTGTTTAAACAGACAGGCAGATATATTTCACATTTCTTAGGCTAGTCTGTCCTGAGACTACCCATAAAAAGATTTTGAAGGTGATTAAAGCAAAGATAATTGATCCCTTTATTTCATCCGGAAAAAATAACTCTGTACCACTGTTCCCAGTCTCGCCTGTAAATCCTGCACTACCTGCTTTCATTGCCTCCTCCTCTACTTTCTGCCCCTCATATAATCCCAAACTTCCATGCAGTCTCTCCTGACTCTTCTATGGGCAGTAGGAATTTAGGTGCAATCAGGTAGACCGAGGTTTACATTCTGGCTTCACTACTGAAAAGCCATGTAGAATTGAACAAACCAAAAAAAACTTCCTGACACTTAATACCTTAATCCTAAAATAAGACATATATGAGCACCTATCTGTAGGGTTGATCTGAAGACTAAATAAACTAGTGTATGTAAGTGGCTAGTGTAACTGTCATGGGGTTAAATGCTCTGTAACATTATTTTTGCAACCATTGCAAACCATAGCTATTACTCATTAAGTTTTTTTGTGGTAAAATTGGGGTACAAGATTACATACATTTCAATTGTACAAGATTATAATTTGATATCTGTATACACTACAGTGTTCACCACTGTATTTCTAGTTACCATCCATCACCATATAATTGGTCCCCTCATTTCCTTTCCCTTTCAGCCTCCCCTTAAGTCCCTTTCCCTCCCATAACCACCAGTTAATTCTTTGTATATATGAGTTTGTTTTTGTCTTGCATGTTTTTTTTAGATCCCACAAATAAGTGAAACTATGTGGTATTTGTCTAAATTTTTTTGGTTATTCCTCTTATGAATTTCAAATATCACTAATTCTTTATAACATTCACTTGACATTCATCTATAAGTTAATTAGATATGTTTCATATTATTTATATGAAATTTATGCCCATTTCTTTAAATACTTATATCTATATGCATAGACATAGATGTGCACATCATAAGTATACTCACTGAATTCTGACAAACATGATACACCCATGCAACAACCATCCAGATCAAAAAACAAAATAGTACCAATATCCTAGAAGCCCCCCTGAAATTCTCTTCTGGGCTCTACATCTCTCCAAAAGGTAACCTCTAGCTAGGAACTATCTATATAACATATAGAATCAAGTTATACCAACTGTTAACTTGATTATTTGTGTTATTTTTAGACAACCAAGTGAAATTAAGTTCCTTAAGGTCAGGACCTTATACTACACATCTTCTCTCATTGCAAGAACTGTTTATTAAGAAGAAAGATGTTTATATATCTTCTATATTCCCATCTTGTTCTGTTGTGATATGACTGTACCTGTCTGTCAAGGCCCCAGCCCTGAATGTGCCCCACTGTGTTCTTTGCATCTCCACAAAGACTACTGGGCAATCCTGGAGGAGAGCATTCACCCTCTCAGGCTGATGCCACAAGGTCATGATCTGCAGCCTTCATGGCCACTAACTTTTGCCCCACCAACTTATCCACTCTTCATAGCAGCTATTTCAAGCCATCTACCCTTAATCAGACTTCCTATCCTAGCACTTCCCCCTTGAGAGCCAACAGGTAGCCACACCATGTATATCAAAAGAAAATTCAAGCTGTCAGCAATTTTATCATTATCCTGGCACTAAATGTACAATAAATTTCCCTGCACCCTCACCTAGATCCCTATTACCCAACTTTGAGATTTAATTTTCACCTCTGTTCTCTCAGTGACACCCCATTTCACTTTGTTAGGGATCATCTTATTTTATCAATGATATTCTCTCCTTTTCTCTAATTCAGTTGGCTCTTTTCACAGCCCACTTCAGTCTAGTATCCATCCCCATTATCTCACTGAAGTTCTTTTGCCAAGATTCCTAGAAATATCAATGGACACCTTTCAGTGCTTACCTTTCTCAGGAGTAACTAACACTGTTCACTATGCCCTCTCTCTGGAAACATCTTCTTCACTTTGCTGCTAAGAACTCACACTTTTGGTCCACCTCTATCTTAGTGAAAATTTATTCTAAATTGCTGTTTAGGGTTCCTCTTCCCTCTATAAATGTAGGAGTTTCTCAGAGTTCTTTCCTAGGCCTTCTTTCCTTCCCATGCTGCCACAACCAAGAAGATTACTAAAAAAAAATACATCTAAATCATTGCCTATGGGTCGGTTTTACTAAATAAACAAATACTGGGGTGACTGTTTTGTGCTCAGAGAGTATAACATGCTTTAAAATAGATCCTTTCTACTATGTAAATAATAACATCTTGAATTTATAGAATCCCTTCTAGACATACCTATTTTAAAATTTATTTTTCCAATTATAAAATAATATTTTTTCATGTAAAAAATTAAGAATATTTTTATGAGATGTAATGTAATATAATATTTGTATAATGTAGTAGAGTGTAATGGAATCTTCTGAGTTTTACTACCCAGAGATACTTACTGTTTACTTTGGCTTATATCCTTCTAGATATACTATGTTCTCACACATAAACACATATATTACAGATATACTTTGTACATAGTTGAGATAATTATATTTTCTACTTATTTGTAAATTGGACTTTTTTGTGTCATTGAAATTATATCTAATTATTTTAATAGCTCTATACATTTTATCATATAGACATAGAATTAAATATTCAACATATCCATTTATAACTAAATATTTAGAGTTTTTAATTTTTCTACCCTACTTTTTTTCATAATTCACAATTATAAAATTTTGATTTAATAAGCTAAAGAGTTTCAATTTTCTGGCTCTTTAATACATTTTGTCAGATTACCCACTCAATTACTTAGATCTTTTGGTGTTGCCATTCACTTTTTTTTTTTAAGTTTTCTATATTTAAAATGGTACCTTGCAATTGTTTTGACTTGTAAGTCTTTAATAATGAAACAAGGTTGAATACTTTAAAATTTTTGTTTATTATTTACATTTTCATGAATCATTCCTATTGGATTTTTATTTTGCTTTGCTTTTCTCTATTCAGGGGTGGAAAACATTTTTCTGCCAAGGGCAATTTGGATATTTATAACATCATTTGAAGACCATACGAAATTATCAACTTAAATATTAGCCTGTTATATTTGGTCAAACATTTAATTAAATCACCCCTAATGTCCTGGCAGGGCCAGACCAAACATCTTTGTGGGCCTTATACAGTCCTCGGGCCAGAAGTTCCCCATCCCTGCCTATGTAACATTAAATTTAAATGGAGGACTAATGGAAGGAAAAGAAGCTTCAAGATGAGAGTTGAGGGAAGACACGGAGCAGACCTGGAGCTGATAAACTGCCTAGACTTCCTTCTTTATCTAGTTACAAACAGCAAAAATACCTTTCAGGCTTGTAAGCAAGATATGTGATGATCTATAGGGTTCATTTTGACACTGTCATTACTTACAATAAGATCTTTGGAGCACATGGACAGATGATCTTTATGAGTATGAGGAAGAGGGGAGGGGAAACAAAGTCTAAGGAAATAGTTACATGGCCTCTCCATGGTAAATGATCCCTAGACAAATAACCAACATTTACTTCAATGTTCCCCAAAGCTGGGTCACTACTGTTCACACCAACAAACACCTTCTATTTTCTCATGCCAGCCTAGCACATGCAAATCCACCCTGTGAATAACAAAGTGCAAAACCTTTCTTCACAGCAAGGAGAAGGAGAACTTGAAGGCAGACACTCAAAGAGTGTTCCAGAAATCTGTGACAGATAATGCAAGGCAGATGAACAGAGACCCCCCAGCTCCTAGTAATCTCACTGATCATCAAATCAGTCATGGCCCAGAAGAAATGCAAGAGAACAAGCCCCCCACAGACAATCAGAAACTCCTAATGGGAGCACTCGGTCGCAGACTTCTGGATGGCAAAGTGAGTGACAAATATCTGAGCTGTTCATTGTAATGGGCTAGGAAAATTCAGTTAGAATAAAGGCATATATTCATACAAATGGTAATTGATGTATTTTGCATAAGATAGACTTAGAATGAATTTTTAAAATTTGAAAATGAATTTTAAATTATTGCATCTCTGTTGACCACAAATTGAGTTGGTCAACCTACTCTGGCTATAACTCATTCAATGATGGACATCTTTGAATAATAAAAGGGTAATATGTAAATTCACCCTATTGGAACCACTAGAAATGACTGGTTGCCATGGCAAGCACTCACCACCAGGGGGCAGACTATCAATGCAGAAACTACCCCCTGGTGGTCAGTGAGCTTCCACATGGGGAGCTCTGCTTAGCCAGAAGCCTGCTCATGGCTGGCCAGAACAGCAGTGGTGGTAGGAGCCTCTCCTGCCTCTGTGGCAGTGCTAAGAATGTCCGACTCACGGCTCTGAGGAGATGCGGGCCTAAGCCATTAGTCAGACATCCCCCAAGGGCTCTGAGCTGTTAGAGGGATGTCTGGCTGCTATCTTAGGCCCAATCCCTAGGGAGCAGGCCTAAGCTGGAAGGTGGACATCCTTCAAGGTGTCCCAGACTGTAAGAGGATGCAGGCTGGGCTAAGGGACACTCCTAAGTACATGAATTTTCCTGCACCAGGCCTTTAGTATAGTGATAATTATCACTATATATGTAAATCTGGGGTAGGTTGGAGGTAGGGTGGTCTGTCTTCTTTAACATTCCAGATCACTTACTTTCAAAATCCAGTGCAACCATATCTAGACATAAAAAACTATCTGGATAGAAATCTATATCACTGCACTCTTGTTCAGAATCAGCCAAATCATCTACAACAAACTAACATGATAATGAGGAATCTAAATGATTAATATTATGTAATTAAAAAACAAGAATAGCAGCAATTGCAAACTGGATCCAAATCAAGATAAAACTAACAATTCATTGATAAAAAAGTGCCATTTCCAAAAATTGTTGAAACAACAATTAAACAGATATGTAGAGTAGGAGTTTTGCAGTTCTACCAAGCATTAAGTGATAGCCAGATATTTTAGTAGAATACTGAAAGTCTGCAGTACACTCTAATATAACTATTTTTAGTTTCTAATTTTAATAGCTCCTACTAAATCTCTCAGATACAAGCTAGTTTTCAGTTATATGAGAAAATAAAAGCCTATGAATTTGTGACTTTTGTTCATAAGAACTCTGAAAAAAATGCAATTTGGAGTAGTTAACAGCCTAACAATGGACCTCAGATCATACTCTGAAAGATCTACTTGAACAGTGGGGTCCAGAAATAAATTGACTTGCCCAAAATGTCAGTGGCACAGCTTCCTGTTCCCCAGCTTATGTGTTCTTTTGGCTTTCTCACAATGAGTCCTTGAATTTAGGACTGGCTTCCTGTTCCCCAGCTTATGTGTTCTTTTGGCTTTCTCATAATGAGTCCTTGAATTTAGGACTTGGTTGGAGCAGAACATAATACATCTGCAGAGGAAAATTAAACTATTATAAATGTCTAAAGACCTCTGATGTTTCACCTAATTTTGACTCTGGCATTAATATATTTGTTTTTGTTGCTCCCCAAAGATGACTTTGGTAAGAATATTATAGTTATAAAACACTTCATTATTGCCTGGTCACTTTCAGGTAAATTTTATTATTTGCTCCTTGGAATTAACCTGTGAGGTTATTTCTGCCACTATGGTATATAGATGATAAAACTGAGACACAGAAATATTAAAGTTATAAACATCCAGATAAGATGTTTACCCAGATTTTCTTTTACCTTCTTAATATTAATCTTCCTAATTATAACATATTATATACTCATGTAGAAATTTTAGAAAATTCAAGGAAAATACAGTTGAGAAGAAGACAAAACTCAATTGAAAAGAAAAAAACAGCAGTATATAGCTTTCTCTTCTGTCCTCCATGCATAGATATAAAATAAGAAGCATGATACATATACTCTATTATCCTGCTTGATTCACTGCATAGTAAGAATTCTGTCCCAGCTTCACAAAATTCACCTTAAGCATCCTTTTTAATGGCTCTATGAGTCATACTCAGGACACTTAAATAACATTTACTCTGTGCCAGGAGCTATTCTATGCTCTTTACATAGATTAACTTAACTACTCTCAAGCACCCAATGAGATAGGAACACTTATTACCTTCACGGGTGAAGGAACTGAGAAACAAGAGTTGAAGAGCCTTGTCCAGATTATAAGACTGAGAAGAGGAAGAGCCCAGTTGAAGCCCAGGTTCTAGGTCCTTAATCATCAAACTGTATGTATTCCTTTATGCTATAAAGTTTATAGGAATATATCATGGCTCATTTAACTAATTCCTTATTTTTGGCATGTAAGTAATTTCTAGGTTTTCTCTTACAAATAGAAACTTGTTTCTTAATATGCCCCCTGGCACACTGAGCTGCCCATTCCTAGAACAGACTCTGTGTTAGTCATTATAATGGGCAGCATGTTCGCTGGGTAAGCTGTTCATGAGCCTCCATAACCTGACTCTTTGCTAGCACTGGAGCGACAGAGGGAGATGACGTGTCTCTCTCCCACACAAAAAACTCAATGAGGTTTCTCGTGGGAGGCTCAGTAGGGCTAACACTCAACCACCAAACACAGCAAGGCCTCGTGGGAGGTGTGGGCCTAATTGGTTCTGTCTGCCAAGTGTGTGGAGCTGGCCTGCCAGATGGCTGCCACAGTTGCTTGGTACAGAGACCCTCATTACCACCTTGATAAGTGGTAAATGGAATCATGCCTCAGTGAAAAAAACAAACCAATCAGAACTCATTCTAGATCCTCATCCCTCACACATCAATGAAAATAAGCTTTCCTGTGTGGTATCTAACAGGCAATCTGGACTGAATTTGCTTCAAAAGAGGATTTACTGATAAAGACTTAAGCTAACATGGGTGAGGATGGGGCAAGTGAGAAACTTTTCTAAAGTAAAGATGCTGCTTGATGGGTATCATATCATTAATAGGAAGTAAGTAAAACAGAAAATGTTAAATAAATCCACTATTTCATGTGTGTGAGAACAGTTAGATATCTTAGAAATCAACCAGTACAAACATTCATTTCACAAATGAAGAAGGAGAGTCCCAGAGAGCTTCATGTTTAGTTCAAAGTCTCACAAGTGAAGAGCCTGCCTCTTCTCACCACCAACCTTAGGATCTTTTTGTCTCCAAATTCTTCTCCTTATGTGTTTTTGAAAATATATATGTTGTTTAGATTATTTCTCAGAAAAATCAGTTCTGCCTTCTCTCAGAAAATAAAAAAGAATGTGTGACTAGCAACAAACTCAGTAGCACAGTTTCAAAAATAAAAATATTAAAAAGTGGCTTTTTATATCTGGCAGCATGAAAATGAAAGTGTTAGTGCTTTCATTTTGATAATTTTCACGGCTGATTGATGGTGTTTCTTTTAAACCCCTTTTGCGTGTTTTATATTGCTTATTCTGCTCAACAGCACTGTGAGAAAACAACAACAACAACAACAAAAAACAATAGCCCTGTGAGGGAGATAGAGGCACAGAATGTTATTTCCTTTAAGAAATGAATAGACAGATATGAAGGACAGTTCCACGTGGCTATGCATTGGTGGCTCAGATTCAATATGTTCAAAGCAAAATCTCCAATCCTACTCTTCATCTTGTGGTCTGCCTTCACAAAAAATTCTCCCAGTTCTCCAAGTTGCACAAGCAAGAAACCTGGGCATGCTTTACGAGTCTCTCTCCATAACTCTAATACCCAACTAGTCACTGAGCCCTTTAAATTCTACCTCCTTTATGTCTATCAAAAATTGCCCTCTTCCTTATGTTTCCTCTGACATCATCATAGTCAGACCACTATTGTACCTCAGACTTTAATTATCATTGGCTTTCCTTTTCCCCTCTCTGTATTGGTCAGCTATGATAATACTTCTGTGTAAGAAATTATTCCAACACTCACTCAGTGGTTTATAATAAGTTATGCTTACATCAGCAGATATAACTTAACACAGCATTAATTTATTTCACTTGGACATTCCCAGGCTTGACTCCAGATTGAAAATTTGGTTCAGGTCTGCTCTGTGTTTTTATTGGTCTCAATCAGTGCATAACCCTATAGCAGATGTCATCATACTATTAAAATAAGTTGTTTCTTTATCTCTCTCCTTCAATGAGTCTATAAGTCCCCTGAGAATAAGATTTTATCTTGTTCATTGTTATTTCCAAAATTATCTCTCTATGTAAGAAATGCTAGAGGCTTTCATATCAGAGCCTGGAATAAGTAAATGTATGTATTTTTTTTCCACTGGTTCTTAACATTATGTTGGAGGTATTCACCAATATAATTAAACAATATATAAAGCAACTAAAAGCATAATTAGAAAAGAATAGGAAAAACTGGTTTTAGATTATAAGATTATACACATAAACTCTCAAAACAACTAGTGAAGAAGCAACTAAAACATTAAGAGAATTTTCAAAACAGAGTTATAGGATGTGAGGGCGATCTGGCTGCAACATCTGTCACCCCATTGATCGCCAGGGTTGATTCGGCTGATCTGGCTGGCTAGGCGGGTGTCCCCCTCCTCCCTCACCGATCCATGTGCGTCCCTCCCGAAGCTGCGCGCTTGGTCGAAGAGGACGACTTTCCCCCAAGAGGAGAGGACCGGTCTTCGGTCAAGGGTATACGAGTAGCTGCGCTCCCCTGCTAGAACCTCCAAACAAGCTCAAAACAGAGTTATAACATCAATATATACAAATCAATAGACTTCATATATATAGAAAAAACAAGTTAAAAGATAAAATTCAAGACACCATTTACAATAACAAATAACTAAACAATTAAATTAACTAAATAAATCAAATGCTTAGACACAAGATTAACAAAAAAATGTCTAAACCTTTTTGAAAAAAATAAAACATTCTTAAAAGACACAAGAGTAGATTTGAACAATGGATA